ACAATCTGATACATGGACAAGATTCTGGAAGAGTTGAGACCCACCATGTTTACTTTTGACCTGTCCCCATCTTGTCTTTTTAAATCTGCCAGGACAAGGTTTGGAGTGTAGGTCACTGAGATGATAAATGCCTCATTAAGGGAGAGCAAAGTTCCAAACAACACTTAAGATGGTCGAAGTTAATTCCTTTCTACAAAAGCCATCGCTCGAATCATTCAATTTGAACAACTATTGCCTTGTCTTGGATCACAACGTGTAGTGCCTTTCACCAATACCATCTGGTAGGCCAGCAGTGCCTTTCCTGGAAATGTTAGACCTAGGCTCAGTCATTGATACTCAAATCATGTTTTTAGGTTGGGTTACTGTAATTCATTATACATGGGATTGTCCTTGAAGAGAGCCCAGAAACCTCAATTGGTGTAAAATATGGTCACCAGGGTACTGTCTAGGGCCAGGTCCTTTACCAGCCTGAATATTTGTTAATTTATTTCCAGACTCAGAATATGATCTGTTTTTGGCACCCGGGATGTGAAGTAGTCTCCCTAGAGAGTTATAACAAGTCCCTTGACTGCACACCATTTGGCAGGCTTTGGAAACAGTCTGGGACATTATCAGAAGAAGACTTCATTTAGACTGCTTTTAGCCTACCACTGCTTTCAAATCTTTATTGTACTCAGTTGTTTTATGCTATTTGCATTATTTGTTATGCTGTTTTTATTGGCTTTTGCATTTTTAAAATTCCAGTATAGAAAGGTAGCCGTCAAGGGTTTGAGGATCAAGGGAATTTGGCCTCTTGATTCCAATATGCTGCCTGCCCCCAGGTCATAGTCCAAGCCTGATCCAGAATCCAGGTCTGTGGCTGTTGAAGGCAGAAGTTACTCTCAGCCCCAGGGTAAACCAACCCTCAAAGGAAGTAAACTGCCCCTACTTGTTGGATTCACCCAGTTTGAGTCAGGAGATTCTCAAGTTGCATACCAGATATCCCCAAGGAGCAAGAGCGAAAAGTACCACTCTCTGCTTCCTGAAGCCTCAGGCATAGTCAGCCAAATGCATAGTAGCAGAATGTGACCAAAGTGATCCAAGACACTGGTTTTCGAACCAAAGCCTTACCTAAATAACCATGTCTAATGAACCTTGTTACGGAAGGGTTTAGGAAACATGCACACAAATAACAAAACCTTGCCTAAACTGGATACATGACAAACACTCTTTGTCCCCTCAAAGAGGTGTGGCTTAAGGTTTCAGTCAGAAAGTTCAGAACCAAGATAGGGGACAAAGGAGTAATGTTAAGGAAATGTCTCCTGCCCTCTAGCATAGTAACCTGCTTCTCAGCTGGAACTTTCCAAAACTCTTTGATGAACTCATGACAGCACAGTTGAAGAATGTTTGCCCAATTAATGGACTGGTCACTTTCGGCCTTGAGACGCTGGTACCAGATAGCACAGGTGCAATAATTTTGCAACTGCTAACAGTTTGCTAAAAGAGAGAAAACTGCTTTCTCATAATTCCAGATCTTACTTCAAAAGTCTAAGCTTCTTGCTCAACTGAAGTTTTAAGAACTGAGCCAAAGTTTGGACACAGAACTGGTACAACATCTCAATATCTTGACAGTAGCAGATGGGATTTTGTCCTTTCCTTTACCGTTGCCAGTTTCTATGAGATGGTCTGCCTAGACACCTGGAACCCATTCTTAGTTAGGCTACCAATAAAGTGGTGGTTATCTTCTCTGGACCCAGTTCTCAACTTAGTCGATCAGTTCCCAGTCCTATGCAATTCCTATCTTTTGTCTTGTTTTGAAAGCCTTCAAGATAAAAGATTCCACTGTGTCCCAAGGCACCTAATTCCAAAGTTGAAATGCTATTATATTTCAAAACGGTTATTCTCGCGTTTTGTGGCTTAAATCCATTGTTTCTTATCCTATGGGGGGAGCAGAGGGGGTGAATTCTTCTGCATTCTCCGAGAATATGATATGCGAAAATTGTGATTGAAATGTAGCGGTTTCTCCCGGTCGTTCTCCACAGAATCCAGAGCAACAGGTGTGTGTTCCAATCAATGTTTGATAAAATATTTCTATATTTTCCATGTGTGTCTGATAGAAAGTGGTGGTGAAAGCTTCACAGGAAAATGTATAAACATCTGGTGGTTTCACACATAGAGCTCAAGCCATTGCACATCGGTGCTACAGAAAGCCAAAAAAATAAATAAATAAAGCCTCATGTTTCTAAGTCACAAACATTCTGCTATTCTGGATACTTCTGATCTTCCCATTTCACATGGGGCCATTTCTGTTGTAGGTAGTGTTTGCTAATTGTCCTGCAGACATACAGTTTGCCCTTCTGTTTAGAAAGGGTCCATATGTAAGAGATAAGCTCCTTTCTGGCTACCAGTCCACATGTCATTCCCTTTAAAAATGCTTTAAAAAGTTCTAGCCTACTGTCTCCAGTGCATGTGCTACCACTGCATAAATCATTCAAAAATCTTTCCATGGAAGCCCCCAATATTACTTCAGAAAGGGTTCATAATCATAATCCATATTTGTGAGCAGGAGCTGTTTATTTCTTCCATGCTCAACTTTAGCTATGCCTTCAATCTTGGTTTTTCACATGGCATTAGTGTTTATATACTGATTTCCAGAAGAATCCTCTATTACACCCCCTCTGTATTGTGTCAGCCTTCCATCTTGTGCATTGGTATAGCACTGTTATCCAACGCTGATTACAAATAATTGGGGCATATAATAAAGTCAATCCACAGTAACCTTGATCTGATCAGATGGTTGCTTTTGAAACATGCTTATCCTTTCACTAAAACAATTCTCAGGATTGCTAACAACTGCAATTAAGCAGCACAGTAGTGATCCCTTCAGGAAATGCTAGGTGCTAATCGAAAAACCATTAAAAACTCTGGGAGTGCGAACAATTTAACCTGGCATCTAAAATACGCCAAATTTGGCACTAGGTGAAAGGGAGGATTCCATAGCGAAGATGCCACAACCAACAAATTCTGCCCCTGGTAGCCACCCTCCCCACCTCAGAAGGCACCCAGAACCCAGGCTTTCATGGTTATTTTAATAAACAGGAAGGAATAAGTAGTCTTGGTCCCACAAGACTTAGAAAGCTGAAAGGACTCACAGGTCATGTTTTGACATAATGCTAAACCATAACTTTAGTTCTTGGTCAGGGAATGGGAACCTACAACCCTCCAGGTGTTGCTCGACTCAAGCTCCCATCAGCCTCAACAAGCATGGTATTTGTAACCTCCTGGGAGGAAATGGATGTAGGTTTGTCAGGCAGGGAGTGTATGTGAAGATCTGCAACATCCATCTGCATCCCAAGTGGTTTCTTCTACTCCTCTTCAACCATCCAAGTGTCAGCTCTTGGACTCTTCTACCTTTCCAGGCAAGCTAAGGTATCCAAGCACAGTGGCATGTCTTTAGCACAATTGTATCCTTGGATGGGTTGGTATGATTATTTTTTCCTAGGGGCTGTGAATATATAATGGGGAAACAGTGGAGGTCCCATTGATGATTAGCTCCTCCTGTGCAGTTCTGATTAGATATCTAATAAATTGGATCATAAATCAGTTTTAAATTGAATCCTTCATCAGTCTTGGAATTAGTTAGTTTGCATAGTCACACCTGACTCTCCTGTTAAACCTGGTTGGTAGCCTGCCTGTCTTTTGCCTCTCCGTGGCAAGTTTCCCAGAGATGCTGTAGTTAACTTCAGAGCCAAGTGCAAATCTCCATTGCAAATGGTTGTTTCGCTAACTTTGGCTGTCCCAGCTTAGAAGTCTTAGGTTTGTGCAGAGAATAAAATGGCTGGCTTGCATGTATGAATTGTCATGAAATCATTTGCACTAGTCTTTGCTTATTCTTAAATGAATTTGTATTGGGAAGTTCAGTGTATATTAGTGTACTATAAGTTAGAGTTCTCAAGGGTTATGAACACAAATGCTACTTCCTTCTCCCATGACGATGTGAAAGTGAGAATAATATCGGTTTTGTATTGTATTCTGAAATATATCTGACTGCTAACTGGGTGGGCCTCCTTGAGCCTCAGTATTCCAGTGCACAAGTCTAAGCAGGCATGGGGAAGACTTCTGTTTGTGTGTAATTTTTATGAAAATATGGCTTTTGACGCCCAGCCAATTTATCAGTAATCTCAGTTTGACATAACTATTACTTCCACATGAAGACTACTCTAAAAAACGGAATACAAATAGTTATATAATAGGGTTCAGTGTGACTTCCTTGAGACTGTGGGATCAACTTTTACACTTATCTTCTCTGAAGCAGCTGTAAAAAAATATTGCAAGTCTCTTGTGTCACCCCATTGAAGTCTTAGCTTGTATCAGTTCTGTAGTTCTCTGTTTGGGGGCTTATGATTGCGTAAGCATTTAGATATCTCTCAAGCCACTTTGAATAAGTGAGATGCTTTGCTATGAAAAGGACTCAGAGGGCACCTTTCAGAGCCTTTAATTATTAAGCTATCTATTTGATCCGTTGAACTTCACCAAGCTGGTTGGCCATTTGTTAAAATGGAGTTAGTCCTATTGCTTTTGGTAAGTCTCTGCTATAATATAAAATAGCTGCTTCACCTGGACATGGACAGTCACTTCAGCAGATGTGTCGTATGTTGAGTATAGCAAGAACACTCCATCACTTTTGAGAAGTGAGTGGGAGCAGATGTGCTCACATAGGAGACAGTAGGACTCAACTTCTGCCGACCTTTTATTGGCTTCAGTACGAGATGCTGATGGAGTCATTCGTATTCCATAGCATCCTAAGTGAAGGATACGTTTCTTTCTTCTCAGCTTCTCATTCAAGAGAGGCTAAATGTGACTTTAAAAAAAATACCCTGGAAGAGCAAACAAGGTCAAGACTTGGGATGACCTTTTTTTAAAAAAAATGCAGAATTGACTCTTTGAGATTTATCTTTCTATCTCTTTGTTTTCATTTTTCTTTTTTTCAATGTCCTAATAATGCTGTCCATTTCTTTCAGGTGGGTGTACATGGTATTAGAATAGAATTCATCAATGAAAAAGGATCAAAACGCACCGCCACCTACTTACCGGAGGTTGCAAAGGAGCAAGGTCATTGTTGCACTTTATCTCATATGCTCTGGTGAAGAATTTAAACATACCTAGGAACTTAAAATGCAATATTTGACCTTGCGCTGATGTCAGATGATGGAGCGATACTTTAATTGTAAGGGATGACTCTTCTTTAAATGCCACTTATGTATCAATAGAAAGTAAAGGATTGTGTCCAACTAAGTCACACTCAGAGTAGACCTACTGAAACAAATAGACCAGTTAGCCACATCAGTTGATTTCAGTGGGTCTATAACTTACTTGCATACAACCCTAAGTCCCTTTATTGGGAATCCTTCCATACATTGCAGCAAGCTAGCAATGTGCTGCTGTAAGGTAGCTGAGTATCAAGATCAGTAGCATGCCAAATAGGAAACGTAGAGCAACGTCCACAGGGTCTCTGTGACAAAAAGCTGCTCTTTGGTGCATGGGGCTATCATCAGCAACATGGCGAAAGTATTTTAAATAAGTGATGAGACAGTTACTCATAATTGCTATAATGTTCCTCTTGTCTGGCGGTCACTGTTGGTACTTCATCTGCATGTACTTCAATTTGCTGCTGTTTGGAGAAGACTCCGGCCTCCATTTTTCTTTGAGATGTTTCGCACTTTATGGTTTTTAAAATGTGCTTCTAAAAATACGATGTGTGAGTGAACATTATTGGAAAAATGCAAGTCAGTGTGCCAGAATTGAGTGGCTTCAACCTGTCAAGTGCCCAGCAGGTTACATACATACTTGGGTGTTGCTGTCACAGGATGTGGGGAGTAGGCATAAGGCCAGGGGAATCAATGACACAAGAAACCACATTGTGATGCAAAAATACTACGTGACACAGAGCCTCAAATTCCAATATTAAATTGAAAGCTGCTATTGGCCAGGATCACCTGTCAACATAGAGCGGGTGTTGCTCTGTCCCTTGGCAACTCTTTGGTTAAAAACCCAACATGGTTTGCAGCAAAAGTTAAGAGTAAAAATTGGTTTGATTTTGGGCTATAAGTGCCTGTAAGGACTGCGCTTGTGTATGACTCTGACCCTCTTCTTATCACAATGAAAGCCATGCACTAGTCAGGACTCCCACCTAAGTCCACAGTCTGAGGCAGCCTGTCAGCAGCCCTGTCCCATGCCGTGCTATAGCAAAGGCACTGAGCTGACAACTTAATAGTTTGGGAAAACTCAGTGAACTTTGTCATTGACTAATTATGTGAAATAAAGCAGCTAATGTATATTTGCCAAAGGTTTTCTCAGCATTATTACTTTTATTGCGTTGGTTGCACTTTTTCTGCATCTCTCTACATGAGTTTCAAGCTTTTAAAGGCATCTCATTGGGCTTCAAGGCATCTCAGTGGGTTGTGTCCTATGTTAGTCATACTCAGACCCAACCCATTGAAATTAATGAATGAGGCTAACTTAAACCCATTAATTTCAGTGGGTCAACTCTCAGTGTTTCCCAACCTTGTGCCTCCAGCTGTTTTTGGCCTACAATTCCCATCATCCCTTGCCACTGGTCTTGCTAGTCAGGGATGATGGGAGTTGTAGGCCAAAAACATCTGGAGGCACAAGGTTGGGAAACACTGGAGTAGACCTTAGTTAGGTAAAATCCCTTGTGTGGACTGGGAAGAGATCATTTAAAAACAAAACAAAAACCTGTATTGAAATGCTTGGGATAATTGTTCATCCTGTATCTTCTAAGAAGATGTAAAGGTCTCTGGAGATAACAGGCTCTCTAGATTTACAAGGCAAATGAAACCAGGGGCGGGGGTGGGAGGGTGGGAATGTTCTCTGAAACACAGTGATGGTTGGCACAGTCCACCAAGTACCACCACTGCACAGTCACCATTAAAAATGGGCAAAGGTTGATAAACAGTTGTTCGTGGTTAGATTGTTCTTCATTAAATAACATTGTTATTTTGTTCATTGCTATGGCACAGCATCTTTGATAAAGTGTAAGTTATGCATTTGCTGATCACCATTTTGTACTGAGATGTAAAATAGGGTTCATCTTAAGGAACTATGAAGTAGGTTACTTCTAAGCCATGGCTATTATCAGTTGCCCACCTGTATAAGCATGAAATAGGAACATAGTTCTGCTTCTGCTTTTGATTTTTTTTAACAAAATGTTTATCCTGTTCTTCCTCCAGGGATCTCAGGGTGATACACATAGTCCCCACCCCCGTCTATTTACTGTCAGCAATAACTCTGTCTCAGAAGGGTGGACAATGACTTAGGATCACCCAATGAACTTCAGAATTGGCTGAGGTTGTGAACCTGGGTCTCCACGTAGTCCAGCACTGTAGCTTGTAGGTGGAGGTCCCGTGGACCTCCAGATAGCTGTTGGACTGTAGCTCTCATCATCCCTCACCATTTGGCCAGGCTGGCTGGGGCTGATGGTAGTTGGAGTCCCAACAACATCTCAGAGGGTTCCCTAGCCTTGCCCTGTTTTGATGCTGCAGTTGAAGAGAGTTTGTGTCTGTTTTACCTTTTGTGGGGCCAAGATTTAACCAACATACATGCAATATTACCATTAGAAACTTCAATTGCAAATGACTTCATGTAGTTTTTTAGTGCAAACATGGCAGCAAATTTCTTGTTTGCTTATTACATACATATTAAAAACAGTTATATGAAGCTGCTCTTCCATATAAAACATCACAAGTAAGTATACAAACTAAAAGCATCAAATGTTTAAAAAATGAGCTCTAGAAAGCAGAATTGTGTGTGCCTTCTGACTTCCCACCCTTCTTCACAGGAAGAAATAGGTCAGATTTCTTCTTGCAAGGGCATTTTTCTAGGTGAGAGAATTTGCATGCTACATGGTTAGACCTGGCCCTGGCGTCTACACAATGTCTTCACTAGTTATGCCTTGCTATTTGGCTTTTGGTTTCTGTGTTCTAATAGTATTTTCCTCCCCTGATGATTCTCAACAGGATGGGACCATATTCAGACCATAGATTCCTTATTGAGAAAAGGAGGCTACAAGGCTCCAATTACAAATGATTTCAGGAAAACAATAAAACTGACCAGGTAGGAGTCCATTTTTCTCTATGCTTACAATCTGCATTTCATGGGCACGCCAGTTTTATTATTGGCAAAAAGTGAGCTGTTTCCTGCAGCATCTCTCCTGATAATGGCAGCAAAGATCTAATAATGACGCTTAATAGAATATTCTCCCCTTTCTTCTGCATCTGGATCTAGGAGTCTGGGCATATTAGGGTATTAGAGCTTTGCAAAGAGGAATTGATTATGATGATGAACAGATTGCAGTATGAGAGAGCAGCAGTCCTGAAGCTCTTCATTTAGAGGCTGAGGCAGTTGCTTTCAGGCTCTTAGCCCAAAGCAAATGTGACATTAAATGTATAACTGTATTAGCTGCAGGATTGAGGCTGTTGGCAGAGGGGGCTTAACCCTTTCTCCCTGTGCTGCACCCCTGCTGAAAATCCCCTGCTGCTTTTGTTAACTGGGAAATGTTTGTTTGTTTGTTTGTTTGTTTGTTTGTTTGTTTGTTTGTTTGTTTGTGAAAGTATTTGTATACCACAATTTCATGCAATACAACATGGAGGTGCACGGCAGCATATACCATAAAATGTAAAACACCACAAAACAGTATACAATTACTAAAATGACTGATGATAAAGAATAGACACATACAGTGATTAAAAGTAGGCACATTGAATGAGTTCATGCATTTAACGTCAAAAGCTTTGGCCCTCACATCAGAGCACTGTATCATGGCTGGACCAGCTTTTGTGCTGAACAGATCTAGGATCAGTTTTGAGCCCTTGAAAGCTATCACTGGACTTGGCCATTGTTCTGGGGTCTTAATTTTACCAATTTCTTGCAGAGCAGCTTCCCTCGTAGCTCTGTATTGGCACTTGGGTCAGCCTATAGCTTATGATCTATGCCAGAGCCTGTGACCATCCAGATCTGGCTGCAGCTGATATTCCACCATGCCTCATTCTAACTCAGGCTCAGGAGAGTTGGGAGTCAAACATCTGGGTGGCCACAGGTTCCACATCCCTGATCTTTGCAAATTTGATGGAGATGTATGGTCCTTTTAACTAGGCACTACTTCCCCAGTCCTGTACACATTGCCAAATGGGTGGACTTAATTAGACCCGGATTGCAACTGCTTCAATTTCAAGCCAGTTTAGCTTTTAAGGGAAACTTTAAACACAGCAGAACAATTCTGCCTTTTTTTCTCTTTAATGGCTAAATGTTTGCCGATCTGTGCTGTTTGTGTAATTAAACATCAAACTATCTTTAAAGGCAATTCCAGAACTATTCCAGATAAGTGCGTGTTGCTGATCATGGGCCAGATCCTGTGTTGGCAGCCACACCAAAATGCACATTCATCCTTAGTAGAACTTCTGGTTTAATTTACAATGCTTTTGTCCTCATGGGTCTTACCTCGCTTCCCATTTAGCCTCACTACTTCATCTTCTTTGGCGATTCATTTTATTCTGATATATCAACAGTGGCCGACTCTGGGGTTGCGGCGCTCATCTCGCTTTATTGGCCGAGGGAGCCGGCGTACAGCTTCCGGGTCATGTGGCCAGCATGACTAAGCCGCTTCTGGTGAACCAGAGCAGCGCACAGAAATGCCGTTTACCTTCCCGCCGGAGTGGTACCTATTTATCTACTTGCACTTTGATGTGCTTTCGAACTGCTAGGTTGGCAGGAGCAGGGACCAAGCAACAGGAGCTCACCCCGTTGCAGGGATTCGAACCGCCATCCTTTTTATCAAGAAGTCCTAGGCTCTGTGGTTTAACCCACAGCGCCACCCGCGTCCCTTTTTTAAATCTTAGCAGTACATAAAACAAGTCCTGTGCGTGTGCTTAGAAGGCAATTGGGCCAGATCCGGCCCCCAGTCCTCAGTTTGCCTACCCGTGTCCTAGGTCATTGGTGGATAATGGATCATAAAGGGGCGGGGAACCTGTGTGCGGACATATGTGTGTCTGGCCTCTATACGCAGACTGCAATGTGTGTGCATTGTGTTACTCACTGAATATTTTGCAGTCAGAAGTCTGTTTCTTGATGTGTTGCTTTGGGAAATCCTGAACATTTCTTCCTTTTCTTTAAACCCTTCTGTCTCTGCTTTTCTCCCTCTCTGCCCCCATCCCCGGCCCCTGTAGGTACCGCAGTGAGAAGATGACCATGAGCTACACAGAATACCTTGCTCACCGTCAGCATCATCACTTCCAGAATGGCATTGGGCACCCCCTCCCACCATACAACCATTATTCCTGACACTGAGCCGCATGACCAGTCCCTGGACTTCTCTGCAGACCTCTTCCCAGGAGACCCCACTCCCTCTTGGTCTAGCTATCTCTATTACTGTACAATTTTATGATGATAGTTTCCGTTGCCATGATGGCGCTTCTCCACAGCAGGTTAAGTTCATCATGGCAACGGATGGAAACGCTGCATCATTACAAAGAGCCCCTTCACTCTCTTTTTACAAAATCCTTACTTTGGCTAGTATATAGACCTTTTGGGATTCTTTTGATATAAAACCTTAAAATTCTAACTTCATTAACATTGAATTATATCAGTCAAGTTTCTCTGTAAGACTGTGGATGGAAGGAAAGAGTATAATGCTTAAAGGGCTTGGATTAGAGAATACAAGCATGATTAGCTGCTCATAAAAACAAAATATACAAGATTTAGGTCAGAAACTTAGACTATGAAGGAGGCCTGAGTAGGACTAACTGTACAATCCTCAATGTTCCTATAAACTTGTTTTGATTTCATGTAAGTAAATATGTGAGCCTCAGATTCTTCTGATAATCCTAGGAGAGGCAGATTTTGAGATGAATTGCTTGATTATGAATAGAAGGCAGCTATGGTTTTTGCATGGTATACAATGATCATATAGGAAGAATTTTATTGCAAAACCAGTTCAGGCTATATTGGCCAATGCATTTGCCATTTTAATTGCTGCACATCTAGGAAGGCGGTGTGCCACCTTTTTACTCATGGGACTCAAGGCCTTCACAGGCCCCATGTATAGCAAGGTGGCTTGTGCATGAGTGACTGTTTGCACCAATGCCATTCTAAGACTTCAAGGATAGAAGCTGCTTTTGTGCTGAAGCCGTTGGCATGTAGCAGCTGTCGTATAAGGAAGTCAATGGATTTAGGTATTAGTGCCTTTGACAAGGATGCAAGTTATCAAAATAATGGGGGGGGCATAGGGATAAACTGGAGAAAAGATGGCTATATTGAACTCCTTTCTCTATTGAGAGTTGGTGAGGAATGAAATTAGTTCGAGAGCAGAAATCGGTTTTCTTCTCTCTCTTCCCAACATATTCCAGTTGCCTGGAGTTTGTTACAATCAACCAAACGCAATTACTGTTTTAAGTAGTCATGGTGGTGGATATGAAAAATGCGTTTGGATTTAATGAGTCATCTGAATGGTTCTGAGCCGGAGGGATCAGTCCTGTGGCAATGACTGTCTTTCTGTCCTATGTGAAAGGGGCTGAAAGAGTTATTGTCTTGATCAGACTCTAGCAATGAGGAAGAGAGACAGGGAAAAGGCGTTCATGAAGTTGGAAGCTGTTAGTAGTTTGGGACTCACCTTATTTAATGTACTGACAGAACTCTCGTGGACAGTGATGAAGTGTATATTCAAGGGGATAGGCTCTTTGCTAAACAGCCCTGTGATCTTAAGAAGAAAAGTGAGATATAAATTTAATAAATAACAATAATAAATTTTGGAGGAACCAAATACATTTTCACAGGAATCCCAGCATATTTCATTCACTAGATGTGGAGTTCATATGCATACCTGTAGGAGGATAGATGAGTGTGGGCAAAACCAAACACTATTAAATGTCAAGCAGCTGGTTAAGAATCCTCAAATGTACTCTTAATTCTCATACGTACAGAGAGGCAAGCAGAGGGTGGCTCTCACATTAACAGGGAAGCTAGCAGAGAAAGTTCTCACAGGGAATGCTGTCATTTCCTTCATCCACAGCATTTGATGTCCAAATATTAACTTTCTGTTTTAATGCCTTAATTTTAAGTGAGCAGAAGGCCTGAAAACACAAGTAGCCAACAGATGTCTGGCAGACATTGCAGGTCAGGAAAAGAACTGGCCATTGCTTCTGTTGAAGTTATGTGGGGACCCTTTCCATTTGGGTGTTGGAAAGCAGATTCACCTTGAAACAACAGGTATCAACAAGTGGCTTTCTGAATGCAACTTTTTCATTCTTGCCCTTTAAAGGGAAACTTGAGCACAAGCTGAAAAAAATATTATCTGCTGCAAAACATTTGAAAAATCAGCCATGGCCACCCAATCCCATCTTTCCTCTGTTATCTCATTACAGCTCATGCTTCTGGGTGAGCTCATTGTTAGAAGTTTTTTAAAAAGATCTATTATATATATATAAATATATGTGTATTTAAAGGTGCTAATCAACCTTGAGCAGGTCACGTGACTGGTCATGCGGACTCGGAAATCATATCAGATTTTTTTAGAAAAAAAAATCCTCAATATATGCAGATGTTATACAGAATTTCTTACCAGTGTAATAATGAAATACTGATTTAAATAAAATATCCTGCAGGGTTTGAAGGACGAGGTCAGCAATACTTCCCACCATGGCTTGGGGGAGGAAAAAGGATCATTTTGTCTCCTTTTTTGTACACAGTGTAATGCACAATGCATATTTGTCTATGTTTCAGTAGCTGTTGCTTGGGAAATTAAAACAAGTTCAAAGGGTTATTACAAACTGGAAAGGTGTGCTTTAAAAAAAACATGAAAAACCTCCAGACCCTTCTGAGCCTATCTTGCATATGTTCATTTAGGAAGAATTCTTGCTTGGCATGTTGTGAGACAGAAGCTTCAGCAAATGTTCTGTTTTTACATATAGATGAATCCGTTTCTTGCTGACATTTTTTCCTGGCACTTACCTCTTGAGCATGGAAGTGCCAACGACACAAAGGATTATGTTTCTTATGTAATTGTAGGTTTATTCGTACAAAACATGATGTACTTCACAGGAACATAGTAGCTCTGTTTGCTGAAAACAAATCAAGGAAAAAACAAGGCTTGAAATATGCCTTGTGGTTTGTTCCTAAATATGCAAATTGAAATTGGAGCATTTTGTGTTGATTTTGAAAATCCCAGACAGATTTCTCACCTTCCTGTCAATATTGATCACTGAGCTTTGGGCAAGCATTGATCAGTTACTTTTGCCTTATTTCATTCCAAAAGGCGCTTTTGTTCTAGCTTTAAAAGTTTGCTTCCTGCACCCGTGTGGTATGAGGCAGTTCCAGAACAAGTCTCTCCGGTTATGCTGAAGGAGAGTTGCGTCCCTGAGCTGCACACACACAACATACACCGTTACCAGTAGCTGGAAGAGTCTTGTGCAGTCTTGCATCGTTGCCACTTTCCCGCCGGGGCCACAGCAGGCTCCGGTGGGATGGGAGGTGCTTTGCACCAACCGCAACACAATTGTCAGCTGGAACCACCGGGCCACACCACACACCCCAATGCGTATGTATCTCAACCTTTTCACTTGTCTTCAACTGTGCAGGTTCTTGAAACTGTTGCCTGGAGTAGATTACATCTCTTGTGTGTTGGATCGAACCAAAGAATCCTCCAGCCAAGCCTAAATGCTGCTCCTAAAAAATAAAATAAAAAAGCCTGCCTTCCAGTCCTTCCAAAATCCCTGCAGGATGAAATGGGTTAACTTTTTTTTATTTTTGTACAGTTTCTTAACTGATTTTTTGCTAGTGATGTTAATTGAATTAAGTTTCGAGGAGCCTAAGCGACTCCTCCAATGAAATAAAACTGGTGACTTTTTGTGTTTTAAATAAAATAATATAGAAACCCGAAGTGTGCCTCTCAGATTTTAAGGGTTTCTGGTTACATTTATTAAGACCAGCAATGATTATTCTTTATATACAAAGATATGGGTTTTTTTCCTTGTTTTTTTTATTACTGTTTCAGAAGAAGACTAAAAAAAATGAATAAAAAAAAATACCTTCCTTTTGCTCTGGATCCAGTAACTTTGCTGGTACACAAATGCACTGAGAACAAAAGAACTTTTGTAACAACTTATGACTGTTTTGTATATCAAAGTTGATTCTTTTCAAAAGATTGGATCTAGTTTCTAAGTTATTTTCGTGTTTTATATGTTACAAGAATTAATGGTTCACCAGCATAATGAGTTCTTTAATGCAACAAGGTGACACAAATGGGCAAAAAAAGAAAAGCTGCCTGGAGTAGCTTAAAGGCCCCTATTTTTTTCCTTCCTTAGTAACTTGACTATTGATTACAATATTATCACAGATTACCACAAACCTCCTACCATTTAAACTAGATCCTTCCATGTTTATTTGCTATTAGTGTGAAGATACTGTTGAATAAAATGGGCATTTTTATAAGTATGGCTTAAAGGTAAAAATGAGGAAAAAGGAAAAAAAAATATCTAGAAGGTAATTTGTGGGTCTGTGAGATAATGGCTGTGGAAAGATATTGTAGTAGTTTTAACACTATTGTTATTACCTTTTAAATCATTTACCCAATAAAAATAAGCAGAAAAAGAAAATAATCACTGCTTGTATTTATGCTTTTCCTTCAAAGTGTTTTGGCCTGGTATATTTCAACCAGAATGTACTGCAGTCATCCAGATACGTTCAGCTGCCACCATTATGCAAGAAAATGGGAGATAGGGAGGCTTCAAGTTAACTTTGAAAATGCATTTTAGCTTTTCAATATGTAAGCAGAGGCTTTTCTTTGAAGTACAGTAGGTACCCATGAGGGGGAAACCATACTGGGCATTCTCTGGTGAGCATCGTGTAAGATTTAAAGGTGTTTCTACCTATTGGCAACTTGTTAGCCAATTCATTGTACAGTGGTACCTCGGGTTACATACGCTTCAGGTTACATAAGCTTCAGGTTACAGACTCCGCTAACCCAGAAATAGTACTTCAGGTTAAGAACTTTGCTTCAGGATGAGAACAGAAATTGTGCTCCGGCGGCGCGGCAGCAGCAGGAGGCCCCATTAGCTGAAGTGGTGCTTCAGGTTAAGAACAGTTTCAGGTTAAAAATGGATCTCCGGAACGAATTAAGTACTTAACCCGAGGTTTACAAACTTAATCCGTTCCTGAAGTCTGTTCTTAAACTGAAACCATTCTTAAACCGAGGCACACTTTCCCTAACGAGGCCTCCTGTCACTGATGCCCTTCCACCATTTGGATTCCATTCTTAGACCAAGGTAAAGTTTGCAAACTAAGACACTACTTCCGGCTTTGCGGAGTTCGTAAACAGAGTAGTTCGTAAACAGGACCGTTCATAAACCGAGGTACCACTGTACTTGGTGTTCCTCTGTTGCATGTAAATTCAACCTCCTGAAGTGTTTCAGTGGACTTTTTCAACTTTTCGAAGTCCACTTGAAATAGAATTCCACAGCTCTTTCAAGTGTGATGTACGAGTTGCAGTTTGTGGCTGAATACCACTGTCCTTGCCACTCCTTTAACATTTTTTTCCAGCCTCCAATCAAGCTGGCTTCAGTTGGAGCTACTGCTAGGCCCCTTCCATTATGTAAATGACCCATATTTGTGTAAATCATAAGGAAAGATCTCCCATGCTTTTTAATAAAAGTTACTTTGGGGGCATGCTTTCCACAAGCTCAGAATTTGAGCTGTGCTTTTCTTCCAGCTGCTTTTTAAAAAAACTTTAAAGGGCTGACTTTCCCTCCTCCCCTCCAGTTGGGTGTGTGATTGTGGAGTAGCAGAATGCCATGACTATTAAGTATCTAGACCTGGTCTTAAATTACTATTGATGCAGTAGTAATATGGTGACTTAAAACAGGGGGACTTTCAACGCTCCAAGTCAAATTACAGTTTACAAGTTCGCTTTCGCAATCTTAAGAGTCTTGTGGCACCAAATGTATTAAGAGCACAAGCTTTTTTGTGAACCACAGTTCACTGGGTCAGCAATGTAATCCATGAAATCTTATTGCCATCATATGCATTTTGATATTTGAGATGCAATAGGACCCTTTGTTCTTTTTGCTCCAGCTGGCTAACATAATTACCCCCCTTTGGCAATTCCACAATCCAGTTATTTTTAAAGGAAAAACTATTATGCCAGCTGTAGGCTGATATTGTGATATGTAGCTCAATGGATTAAACTAGCTGATAGGCTCCAAAATTATTATATTTGGCTACACAGCCACCAGCCTTATCCTTAATTTTTATCTATATGCTTTCCTAGAAATGTGCATAGCTCTCAGGTACCTACTAGCTGGTGCTCTTGCCGTCAGTAGCAACTATGAACTTCCTGCATCTCCATAGGACTTTTAGAGCAAAGGATGGCTTTGTGTTTTTGCTCCAGGGTGGTCCAAGCCCTTTAGATTCTGGGTGGACGTTTTAGCCACCATCCCACAAATGTCCAAAAGTGGAAGTTACCTTTAGCATAACTTGTTTTAATTCCTTTACACCACAACTGTGCTAATTGGATGTAGGAATATTTATTCCATTTAAATAAATGCAACCAACTTCCCCAGGAACAATATTTTATTAAGAGATAAAGAAAGTCATTTCAGACACAAATACAAATTCCCATAAATTCAAGTACGCGATATCTACTTTGTGTGTGTATTTGGAAAATGTTACCTAATGGGTTTTTATTACATTTTTTTAAAAAGGAAGTAGTAGTTTATAAAATTGAGCCTACTATAAGACACCTAGGATTCAGTGGAAGAGAGGAGAGCTTCAGGGTGGGTTATAGGTCAGTGGAGACACATACACATCCCACTGCCAGCTTTGATGATGGAATAAGCCTCTGCCCAACGGGTACCACTGAAAAGAAATTCAAAGTAACAAAAGTAATACAGTTTGGCCAAGAAAGGGAGAAAATGAGATGGCTGTTTTTTTTAAATTAACTGGCTGGAGATGCCTGCTACTGCAAGAGAATGGCAGCTTCAGATTAGTTGCCATAAAAAACTCATTTTCCCCATATTTATAAAGAGGCAAAAAAGGAATAGGAATTCCCCTGATCTTGATGGTGGCCCAAACAGCAAGGATAGGTTAGCTATCCTAAAGATACCTAATAAATCATTTATGGATCACAGTTCCTGCTTAAAAAATAAATACTTAATCATAGCTGCTGCAGAAATGTATCATGTGTAGGTTAATCTTCACCTCCATCACACAACACAACACAACCACAAATGTACAAGAAATCAGGGTATTTTGCCCTATAAAGACTACTGGCGTACAAACTCAAGTTCATAATACATAGCAAAATAGTTCATTCTAAAAGAGGAGTAATGAATACGGCCTTTACAAAACACTGAATTAGCAATACAGAAAAATATCAAAATTCTGATATATAGGCCACAGAAAAGATAGTCACAGCTACACTGAGGTACTCTAAAAATTGTCTTCCTCAACCAAGTGCCCTGCAGATGGGAGTTGTTCGAACCATCTGGTGGGCACCAGGTTGAGTAAGGCTGATCTCTAATGTTAAAGTGCACATCACAGCCACCCTTCCCAGGCCTTCCATCTCTGGCTTTCCAAAAGGACACCTTCTGCTGAACAGAAGGCTACCCTGCAGCCCTAGGGAGTTCTACAGCCAGAAAGATTATACAAGAAGCTCCAAACACGAAAGCACTGAAACCCAAGTCCATGCTGATCCAGCCATATAATCTAAGTGGATGAGTAAAAATCCACAATGCACAACAACACAGGCATTCTAAGGTGCAGTGCTTTTTTCTAGGGGTCCTCAAGGGTCCTCAGTACTGGCACCTCCCCCCCAAAAAATGTTAAAAGTGTGGCACTTACTGTTAACAACTTCATAGTGCCAGCACCTTTATCTTTTTTTTTTTAAAGCACTGCTAAGGTGCAATAGACTTTGGCACCCCACTTATTCAAGCACCATATCCTAACAAAAGCTACACTTTGCCTTGCAACGCTATGCCTTGAAAACTAGCTAAAGAAGCAATGAAGACAGTCCTTTAGTTAGGGGTGGGGGAGGTATGAGGCCTGTAATGAAACTTACAAATTCCAGCCTCTGGCTCCTTAAAACAATTCACACATCCACCTTCAATGAACAGGACAGCATATAAAGGCAAAGTAGGTAGGGGGCCCAACTCACCTGGAGCTCAAGCACTGGACAAACACATCTCTCCAAGTGGAAATTCTCCCCAGCTGTGACCTGTTACAAATTGTCCTGTCAGAAATGAAAAGCCCCTCTTGGCAAAGGATGCAATTCTTAAGTAGGTTAGGTTTTACCTATGGAGGGGGTGAAGAGCAGGGATGCAGAACCTATGGCCCTCCAGATGTTATTGGGCTCCCATTTCCATCAATCCCAACCAGCATGGGCATGAGCAGGCACTGTGGGAGTTGTAGTCCAGCAACATCTGGAGGGCGACAGTTTCCTCACCCCTGCTGTAGAATCTTCCCCAATGGTACAGAGGTAAGTGCATAACTCTGGACTAGTCATTAGAAATTTCAGGCTTTTACTTTAGAACCAATCAGGTTTTGGAAGTTCTTAACAGGGAAGGGGATTGTCCTGTCACTTAACCGAAACACCCAACCAAAAAAAGTTTATAAGAAGGGTCTTTTTGGCTTCAGGAGGTAAAACTCAGGAAAACCCAAGTTGTAGAATACTGACTCAGAAAGCAAGTTCTATTAGGTGAAGGTCCCTTTACTGAATGAGCTGGCCAACTTCTGCAACTACAAAGAGCAGACTTGGCAGCTCTTTGTCTGGAGTGAAGCCAAACACACTTTTGTTCTATACTGACCAGCAGTCCTTTTATTTCAAGAATGCAGCCCAACTCACCAACATTCACAACTACAGACTGGAATATGCCACAGTGCCACACACCAGAGCCCTGAAGGGCATACTTGCATGAAGTGCCCCACACACTGATGCAGGCAGCCTCCCATTCATCAGTCATGAAAGTATGTGGCACAAGTAACAGGCAGGTGATTATCCAGACCAGTAATGCTTTCACCGAAACTAGTAGTGTGTGTGTGTGTGTGTGTGTGTGTGTGTGTGTGTGTGTGTGTTTAACCCAGTCAAACTGATCATTAATGCAGTTTTGCTTACCTCAGAAGAGGAGGCGTGTCAGCCTTAGTGACAAGTTTGAAGTTGCTCAGCTATCTCCTCTGAAAGCAAAACTAAGTGGAACACTTGAAAGAGGGCAATGGGAGAAAACATGGCACTTTTTAAGAGTGGCAAGTCACTTCCAGGGAGAATCTGAAGCATGGACTAAGGTGATCAAGAAGCACCAACATGTTTGTTGAAAGGGGCTGGGAAAAGGTAAGGCTGAAGGATTAGGCCCCTTGTGGATGAGCAACATGGCACAGGGTTGAAAGATTTGCCCACTCTCAGTCAATTCAGAAGTTTCACTCAAAACCTAAAAAACAACAGCTACTATTTCTGCTCCAGGGAGGGACTGATGGAACTGGAAACAAGTACAAAAAGGGTCATCACCAAGGGATAGGTGGCTTCACTGCGATCAAAGAAAGAAACCTACTCAAAGTAATTCTAACAGATAGAAAGGTCAGGCACAATTGCTTACAATTTTCAAGATTTTATACTGCTGAATCCTACATTACTGTCTACTTGTCTACGATAAAGGATTACAGCTATGCTAGGAATTTCACTGTCTTATGCCTTTGTTTAAATATGCCACTTTGGGAGAGTAAACAACCTAGACATTAAGATTCACCACAGCAACTGCAAAGAGCAACCCTGGACAGGATTACTGAATATTATGCAAGACTCCCTCCTTCAATGCTCTGCCAGAAGCAGAAAATAGGCATATGAAAAGCAGGGCTGTGAAACAGGAACTCATCAATGAGCATCTTTGATAAAACTCATGGTAGTAAAGAGTATTCACAGTATAACATGTACAAAATTCCTCACACACTACAAAGATTCCCAAAACAAAAAGGTTTACAAAGACAAAAGTCCAGGATACTCTTCTTTGTATGCCAAATTGCAGTTAAATATTCAAGTTTTGGTCAACTGAAGTAAAATACTCAGTCGTGTCTTTTGCAGTTCCACAGCTCTACGAATCTCCATCCCACCATCTTCCCTTGGTTGAATGAAATGAGCTGCAATGTTGACCGTTAAGGCAACTTCTCTCTCCTTGAGGTATCAGTGACTGCAGAACGCATCCCGTTGGAGAAATATACCTGGAGGAAATATGGCAGTTGTCGTATCTTGCATTCCACAACTAAGGCAATGCAACCAGAAGAATGGGGAGGGTGAGGGAGAAAGAGAATGCTTAAAACATTGTCACTACAGGACACTGTGTGACCATTAAGCAGAATAGTTCTTCAGAAGGTTACAGAGGAGCATTCTTCACCTTTCTCTTCAAATCTGGGCTAACACTGAAAAGGTAACACAAATCCATTCTACTTGTCACCAGCAATCACCTGCTTCCTAAAAAATTTCTGCACCTCTGCTCAGGCAAACCAACTAGTTCTTCATGGGTGTGGTTAAGTGAGGCTAAACATAAACGCCATCAGGTGTGTTTAAGTAAACACCATCATTAATTTTAAATACTGTATGATTCAGTTTGCAGAAGGGTAAAATTCTAACCAACCCAAACTGACAGTGTCTCTTTGTAGAACAATTATTCCTACGCAGGCACTGCTTGCATCAAGAGCATAACACCCCATAATTCATTCCCTAAATTTATTACATACTTTCCCCCTTCTTCGTGTTTTTCACTTATCGGTACAGAAAACCAACCTATGAGCTGGAACCAAATACAATATGGTTGGATTTGAGCACACTGGGACAGAAATCCACTGTAGCTTGGAAAGTCTTTATTTCTTGTTTCTTTTAGTGGGTTGTTAATTGTTCCCCATGGTTTCAACCAGCTTAAACAGAACAGAACCTTGCTAATTTGTATTGAAGATCAGGGGATGCCAAACACCGTGATCAATTAATGATAAGTGAATCAAGTGAAATTGGCAGAAATAGGATACTACAAGATGCTCAGTGTCCACAGAACAAGATAAACTGCATTTTACTGGTAAATTTAAGAACCACCACTAGGACTGGTAGATATCTGGTTTTCAACATTCCAATCTATGTCTGAAACATGGAGGTTTGGGGAGAGTGAAGATCAGTCGAAGGAGCAGCCACGAGGGAGATCAGGTGAAGGAGCAGTGTGCCATGCGCACTGTAGATTCCTCCTATCGGAGGCAGGCAAGCCCTCACGTTTGGTGTGCAAATTCCTTCCGCTCCTCCCTAGACAAAGGGAGAAGGAAGAAGCAGTCCACCCACGATTTCTGCAGTGTAGAGACACTGCAATTACAGTTACGGGGAGGTGCTGAGGCTGGGAGTGGGGTGTTCAGCCATTGGAGGGGAAAGGGAAGGCAGGCACCCAGCTGCCAGAAGGCTCTCAATTATACTGCCCTCTGGAGTTGTGAAGTCTGTGCTTTGCAATACATTGCCAGCTCAATTATTCTGAAATAGTTCTCACAATGTGGTCTGCAAACTATGTATCAATACATTGCCCAGCCCTAATCACCACCCTGTGTGATTATCTACTAAGAACTAGTGGATGCAGCGAGGACACCATATATCAAGATTTGGGAGACCCTGGAACACTTGAATCCAAAGTAGCAATATTCTGTTTTCTAAAGGATAGAAACTGCAGGGAATGAATGTCACCCTCTCAGTGGATAAGGCCACAAGTTTTGCCATTGGCTATGGGCAGTGAAAAATCAGTAGTCAGTTGGGAATGGGAGGGAACACCTTATTTTGTAACAAAAGGAACCATTAATCCATGGTGCTTTTTCCTCTTCCCCTTTTTCTGCAGCACAACCACCAGTCCTTTTATGCTTCCTATAAAAAAAACACTTCCTTCCAAGAAGAAGCTTCAGTAGATTTTCTTAGCTGGGAGTCGAAGCAAATCCACACAGAACCTAAAGACAGGCACAGCACTGTAGTAGATGCCAATTATGAGTTTCCCATGAATCAAAGTCATGATCGTCTGGTGGCCGGAGGCCCAAAGTCTATACCAAGGGCCATAGAAAGGATCCGAGATGGCAGGGCACAGCATATTGTTCAAATTCACTTGTGTGGCCTAGGAGAAGGGGGAGAAAAGGATGGTTCAACAATCTTCACAGCAACTAATTTGTTTACCCAACTCCCTTAGCAACCCAGAAGCAGCAAGCTGGTCACTCCCTGAACCTGAACCTCCCATGGCGCTGTTAATAGGCTGGGCAACAGCAGTTGGCCAGATACAGCATCTGCAAAGAGAGGTGTGACTCAGAAGCACCTGTGCACAAAGCAACATTTACTAGGTAAGTCACAGTAGCATTAAGCACATACACACAGTAATTGCTCTTTCAACTACTGGCAGGCATATATAGCAAACATTAATGTTCACTCACCAGTCCCAGAATTTGTAAAACGCTAAAGTGGTAGATAAACATCAGTCCAGTGGATAATAAAGCCCACCAGAAATTCCAAGATGGCTCAGGAGTGTAGACACCTATTAGATACAGAGAGATGGAGAGAAAGGAAAAGTCAATGTTTCATTGATTGCTATAGTTCCCAAGTAACTAGTGCCTCTTTAATAAGGCACTAATTTTCACACCAAGATTACAAACTGTGGAGCACCATTTCTGGGTCTGCAACCATTAGGGTCTGCACCTTACCTCCAAAAGACGAGGGATACCTCAGTTGAAAATCTTAACTTATGAACACAGTCACAATTTTATGCCGTGTATGTTTCCAAAGGCATCTGAACAACACACACATCGTTACAGATCCTGGAGCCTTTCAAACCAGACATTCTGAGGATGTAACCAGCAAAAGAAGGCTTCTGCTTCCACTACTGCCTCAGACGTAGGATTCTGAGTTTGGAGAAAATAGTAGCATCAATGTGTAAGGTAAAGGTAAAGGTACCCCTGCCCGTACGGGCCAGTTGTGTCCGACTCTAGGGTTGCACGCTCATCTCGCTCAAGAGGCCGGGAGCCGGCGCCATCCGAAGACACTTCCGGGTCACGTGGCCAGCGTGACGAAGCTGCTCTGGCGAGCCAGCACCAGCGCAGCACACAGAACGCCGTTTACCTTCCCGCTATAAAGCGGTACCTATTTATCTACTTGCACTTAGGGGTGCTTTCGAACTGCTAGGTGGGCAGGAACTGGGACCGAACGACGGGAGCTCACCCCGCCGCGGGGATTCGAATCGCCGACCTTACGATCAGCAGGTCCTAGGCACGGAGGTTTTACCCACAGCACCACCCGCCATAATGTGTAGTTGCTGCCAAAGTATTCTCCAAACCTGCTTCTCCTAACCTTCAGCCTCTAGTCCACTCTTGCTGTGTACACCAGATTTCTACTATCACCACCTGCAAAAACATGGATAACTTTTTTTTTGTTTACCACACAGTAAACAAGACAATCTGATTCTGCACACTGATGCTCCCACACATGCAAGGGAAGCCACTTGCAAAGGAGCAGAAGCTGCTAAGTGGGAGGATCAGATCCTGTGCAGGTGGCAGGATCAGGAAGGAAAAGAGGTCTTGCAGTGCCGGAAAGGAGGAGAGGCCTGGTGGGAAAGGCATCTCTCCCCCCCCCCCTTCATCCTGTGAAGATGCAGTTGGCCAGTAGTTCATTCCATTTCAGTTTCCTCAGGCTTATCACTCACGCCAGCGTCTCTTTCTTGCCTGACATCCTGCCTCTGACAGCCCCAGATGGCTCTGGGAATCTCAACCCAACCGGTCACTACCACGTATCACTATCTGGGGGTGCCTCAACCCAACTCGAACAAGGCACAGATCCCTTCAAAAAGGCCTGATTAGGCTCAGTGATTTGGGCTGTAGCTGAATCCAGTGCACAGCACAGCCCTGCCAATTAGGCAAAGCTGCCTGAATATTGTAGGAGTCAATGCCATTTACACAACCTTGGCATTCGTCACTGAGCACCTTGACTTCCCAGGAGAGGCGGTTACGTGCGCTTCCAGGGAAGGAAACAGCTTTCAGGCACAAAGCAGCTTATAAGCTTTCTTAGCCAGTGGGTGGCTAAAGGTCAGCACAAGCTTTGGGGAGGGGGTGGATTTTGGAAAGCAGAGTGCCAGACTCCGTGGAGAATCCTTAGAAATCCCAGAAGTGAGCACATGCTCCTTCAGCAGAGACAGACAATGAGAGGAAAGCTTTACTGGGGAGAGGGGAGGCTGATCAATGTGGCCTTTGAATGCACTTCTTTCTTCCCACCCACCCCCCATGTAAATAAATGGTTGCCTATAAAACAAAGGGCAATGCTTCTCTTGAAGACACTATTACAATAATGGCAAAGCCAATTAACATATGAAGAACTTTCAATATATAGGAAGAACTTTCTGACAGCTAAGAGCTGTTTGGCAGTGGAGAAGACCACCTTAGAAGGTGGTGGACTCTCCTTCACTGGAGATTTTTAAGCAGAGGTTGGGTGGCCATCTGTCAGGGGTTATTTAGCATTTATTCCTGCATTGCAGGGGATTGGACTAGATGACCATTTGGGTCCCTTCCAACCTTTCAATTTTATGCTTCTATGAATTCTGCACTGAAGGCAGCCTCTTACTGATGGGGAGGGGTTTTATTCATGCAGCTAAAACAGACCCCTTCCACTGGGGTTTCTGAAACATACAAGTTATCTTGAAACGCAAACCTCACCGGTCTCAGTGCTAGAAGAGAACAGGGAGACAGAAAATTTATTTCAGCTTTTCTGAAATGTGTCTGCTTTTAGTGCACAAGATGCTGGACGGATACCCATGCCTGAACCACTTTTTGTGTGGAAGCAGGATGATATGAACTTTCGGCCTTATCTACTAGGACATTTTATTGGTATAGACTGTATTTTTCACTCTATAAGATGCACTTTTTCCCCTCCAAAAATTAAGGGGAAATGTGTGCGCGTCTTATGGAGCGAATGCAGGCTCCAGGGGCTTAAGGGATAGCCACATGAAGCCTCCAGAGGCAGTGGCGTAGCGTGGGTTGTCAGCACCCGGGGCAAGGCAAGTAATTTGCGCCCCCTAACCCGTGGATTTTAGCACTTGAGTGCGAGCGCCCCCCCCCATGTTGCGCCTGGTGCGGCCGGCACCCTTGGCACCCCCCACGCTACACCACTGTTCCAACGTTCAGCTTCACTGGATGCCCACGAGTTATATTGTACGGAGAGAGGGATAAAAACTTTCCTCTCTGTCCACTCTCTCCTTGCCATGCCTAGTGTTGCAGGCTTCTCTCCTGTCGCCTCTTGCTTGCCTTTTCTCTAAACTAAAAACAAACCCAATGCTGCTGCCTTTCCTCAGGGCACGGGCTCCATCCCCTTGCTTAGATTCCCTCTACCAAAGCTGAAAGCAGCCTGAAGTTCCTCCTGATCGTGAATGGGAAACAGCTGGCGAAGCCGGCGGCCTGCCAGGGAAGGGATCTCTTCCTAACTCCTGCTCCACGGAGCCCGTTCCTTGCAAGCGCTCCCTGTCCCTCGGATGGCGAGCGCCTTTGGAAACGCGGAGCAGGCGCTTGCCGGCGAGCAGCCCCCCCCGCCCCTTCCCAAGCTAATCCTTTCAAAACCGAAAGCCCCTTAACCCGCTGGCGAGAGGCTTAGCCGGGCCTCGCCCTCCCACCGGCTTCCTCTCGGAGGTTTTTAGGGAGCGAGGGCGCGCCGAGGCCCCTCGGAGCTCTCCTCCCTCCCAGTCGGCAGAAGCAGCCGCCGCCTGGGTGGGGCTGGGCCGAGGGGATGGCGGTGCGTCGGGGTGCGGAGGCTGCCCGTGCCCGGCATCAGTGGCGGCGTCGGCGCTGCTGCAGCGGCTGCTCCTCCTGCGAGCAGTGAGTGGAGCGCAGCCACAGCGGCGGCGGGGGGCGCGCGCGCACTGGGGCGCAAGGCTGGCGGTGGCGGCGGGGAGCCCGGTGGAGGAAGGAACTTGTCCCTTCCCTCTGGACTCGCGCCCCCCCCCAAGATGTTGCGCCCAGTGCGGCCGGCACCCTTGGCACCCCCCCCACGCTACGCCACTGTCCAGAGGGCAGCGGGAGTTCCCGCTGCGCTCCGGAGACTCCGCGTTGCTTTCGCTGAAGCCAGGAGAGCAAGAGTCTCCTGGCTTCAGGGATAGCCGCCTGAAGCCAGGAGAGCGAGAGGGATCAGTGCGTACCAATCCCTCTTGCTCTCCTGGCTTTGCTTCGCTGGAGAGGTGCTGCGCAGCTTTCCCTCTCTGCACAGCGCCCCTTCAGCGAAGCGGGAGAAGAAATGGAAGGGGCTCCGTTTCTCCTGCTGCTTCGCTGAAGGGGCGCTGAGCAGAGAGGAAGATAATTTTTTTTCCTTGTTCTCCCCCTCTAAATCTAGGTGCATCCTATGGTCAGGTGCGTCCTATAGAGCGAAAAATACGGTAGTTCAGGCCCACAAATAGCCACTAACAAATAGCCTGCACCTAGCAGAAACTGCCCCAGAGGCTCCTGACTTACTCCTGGATTTCCAGCACAGGTATATCCCTACTTAAAATAAAAATAAAAATCCACAGCATGCTCAGAATAGTTCCGAACAAATGGTGCATGTTTCAGCCAGCTGGAGAAGGAAGCAAAACATTGGAAGGCTTTCAAATGCAACTCACTCCCTTCTAGCCTTTCATCTTCAGTTTATGGTTGCTTATCTCCTTAATGAAATTCTCTCTCTGGATAGGGCTGAAACTTATTGTTTGCGGGTCCATTAGCAAGGTCGTGTATGGAAATACTGGTGATAAAAGCAGAGGGTGGGAGAGGAAGACAACTAAAATTAAGTTAGTTTTGCTCTCTCTCTTTTCATTGATTGATTGCACATATAGACCATTTTTCATCAGTCTTCAAAAGCAATTTCCCTGCTTCCTGGCTGCTCCTCCTGGCCTCTCATTAAGTTTAATTTCCTCCAACCTAGTCCTTCTCCCCCTTCCTCAAACTGCTTCACCACCACTGCTGTGTTCTTTGAACAACTGAAATACAGAAACAGAAGGAGCCATGTTATGCAAAACCACACATTTGGATGCCTGGAATCTTCTAAGGGGCAAAATCCAAATTTATTTCAAGTTTAGTGCTAAATAAATAAAGCATATCACTGCCATGAATTCCCTGTATATTTCTCCCAACATGGATGCCTCAACACTGTTCAGCTGCTTCCAGAGCTTAGGAGACCATTAGGAAGCCGGTTTATTCTAGGTGTGAGCAAAAGCAACATGCAACATTGGAAGCTTCATCCCAGACTGACTTTTTAAAATGTCACTTGCATCAGAAAAGAGATAACATGAGGTGACCCAACCCAGGCCAACAGGTAAAGGTAAAGGGACCCCTGAGCATTAGGTCCAGTCGTGGCCGACTCTGGGGTTGCGTGCTCATCTTGTTCTATAGGTCGAGGGAACCGGGGTTTGTCCGTAGACAGCTTCCGGGTTATGTGCCCAGCATGACTAAGTCGCTTCTGGTGAACCAGAGCAGCACACGGAAACACCGTTTACCTTCCCGCTGGAGCAGTGCCTTTTATCTACTTGCACTT